CTATTCTACGTATGACCAAATGCAAATATTAAAACTGAACAAACAATAACATGAGTCTATTAGTTCATTCAATTAAAACCAGTCTTTCCAGACACAGTCAGGTCATACCCAAGTTGAGCAACTATGTTGGTGTCAATCGTTCATCAAATGTATTGCATGTGTGACTCAAAACACACACCAATGAATATTTTGCCACTCTATGTGACCTAAGTTCTCGATAATTTTATTAGGATGAAGATAAACATTTCAAAAGAAGTGAGAGCATGAGGATTATCAAGACGAGTGCTGTTCAACTCAAAGCTGCGATGGACAAGTCACATGGTACTCATAGTATGTAGGAATCTTATTGTGTTGTAAATCCATTCATGGGTTATGTGTGTGTTATTCTCTCTTGTCGTAAAGTTTGGGTTTTCTACAAATGTTGACATCTAAAAATGCAATAGGCGTTGTTGTCACCAATTGTTACATAATATTAGATAAGCAAACAATGTTGCAAAATTTATTTAATATCCGGATCTTGTATATCCAAACTTTCAGGAAAAAAGTTGCATTTGTTAGTCCCTGATTCGATGAATTTCGATGTTGGCTGGTCTCTGAGTTTTCTGAGCCTAGAAATCAGGTACACTAACCCACTATTAATTGCTTCCTTTGAGGTCTCACATCTGGTATGTATCCTATAATATAAAGTATGTCTGTGTACATTGCTTCCTGTCTAAGAAGTATAGGGCAAAGGTAAACTCCGTTCAAGTTTATTAATACTTGTTGGGATGTCAGGCTGGTCCAGTGGGAAGTGTACTTAATTTTTGGGCTAAGCAAATAGGTGACACAATTGATGGTTTTAGACCACCCTTAGCCTCATATTTTAATCAGTGGGCCAATCTAAGGTTATTTTTGGTTTATTAATCATCTTTCATTCTTACCATCAGACGACGGGATTTTGAAACGGAGATGTTCCACAGCAAGTCTTGGAAACAAAGATAGTGTATTGAAAGGCTCTGGAGGTGACAGAAGACGTAGCTTTACATTTAGTTGGTATGGCCGAGATAAAACTGGGAAAGTGAGGAATACTATTGATAATAAACCACCAGCACCACCTATCACAATGAATACAAACATGTCATTTCTTGGTAAGTTAGGTTTTTATCTTGTTCCTTATTAGGATTGTTGCACACACTGAATATTTATCATAATAAATAAAGTAGTTTTAAATTAATTAATTTCAGTTTAAAATATTATCTATATTTTTAGCTCCGCTGTCAATTGAAGATGACAGAGCTGAGCTGTTAATATTTGTGATTGTTTAATGTTTGTCCTTTGTCCATCAATAATTCTATTTGCAACTTCTTTTTGAAAACTACCAGACTTGATACTTGGTATATACTTGCCTTGATCTCTGTCAAATTTGTTCATTTTGTGTCAACGTCTTCAATTCTCTATTTTAGCAAATATTTTGGTCATTTTTGATAAAAAATGCTATTTGCAACTTTTTTTCTTAAAAACTATTAGCTCAATTGCTTTGATACTTATATGTATGCAGGGTAAATGGGCTAACCTTCATGAGATATGTAACAAAATGATAACAAATGCAATTGCCATGGCAACAACCAAATTAACTATTTTGACTGTTAGGTCCCTTGTTCTTATTATGCACTTTGGATGTGAAGAATATTCTTGAATATTCACGAAGAACTCGTGTAACAAAATTGGTAGGGATCATGATATGTCCAAAATTTCCAAGCATGTTGATAATATTTCTTCATTTATTTGCCCATAAAGAATTTGTAGAACTCTTCAAGTCATTCAGTCTCAGATGTAGAAAAGATTTGAAAGATTTATTTGAGAAGATTGCAGTCCCAACTAGTACTATAAAAGATGTTGCTGCAAAGCTGCTTGCATCTAACAATGGTTCCAGTGAAGATTTTACTGTCATCTCAAAAGGTTTGTCATTATTGTTTTTCATGACTTGTCCTCTCTCATGTCATGAGGTATTTCAGACTAGTGCCCTCTAGTGGTATTAGATATTTCAGACTAGTGCCCTCTACTGGCATTAGATATTTCAGACTAGTGTCCTCTATTCGCTGGTTCCCGGCGTCCTTTGCGAATGGCAGGTAGGACGCAGGTAACTAGTAATCGCCATATTGTTCCATTTGGGCCGGTTTTCCGGCCGGAAGGAACGCGACTGGGTGACGTAATTTGAAAACATTCCAAGTTCCGTTTTGCGTAAACGTGTCTGTAATGCTACAATAAAGCCATGCTCATACATACTGCCTGCTTAGATTTACAGATTTGATATGTTCTATGCAAATTTATAACAAAAGAAACAGTTTTTTTTTATTTGCCCAACTTTCGAAAGTAAAAGGAAACCCCTGAACGGCCACGAGCGTAAGCGCTGACGTCAGGTAACTAAGGGAAATGGAACAAGCAACGAGAAAGTGGTGTACCAATCAGAATGCCGGAATCGTTACTAGTTACCGGCCTCTTGTGGCTTGGTACGCCATGACACTTGAGGCGGGAACCAGCCAAGTGTCCTCTAGTGGCATTAGGTATTTCAGACTAGTGCCCTCTAGTGGCATTAGATATGTCAAACTAGTGCCCTCTAGTGGTATTAGATATTTCAGACTAGTGCCCTCTAGTGGCATTAGATATTTCAGACTAGTGCCCTCTAGTGGCATTAGATATTTCAGACTCGTGCCCTCTAGTGGCATTAGATATTTCAGACTAGTGCCCTCTAGTGGTATTAGATATTTCAGACTAGTGCTCTCTAGTGGTATTAGATATTTCAGACTATTGCCCTCTAGTGGCATTAGACATTTCAAACTAGTGCCCTCTAGTGGCATTAGATATTTCAGACTCGTGCCCTCTACTGGCATTAGATATTTCAGACTAGTGCCCTCTAGTGGCATTAGATATTTCAAACTAGTGCCCTCTAGTGGCATTAGATATTTCAGACTAGTGCCCTTTAGTGGCATTAGATATTACAATCTAGTGCACTCTGATGGCATTAGATATTTTTCGCTGGTTCCCGGTGTCCTTGGCGATTAGCAAGTAGAACGCAGGTAACTAGTAATCACCATATTTTCCCACTGGCCCAAAGTCACTAAGACTAAGTGACGTAATTTGAAAACATAACATTTGTTTTCTGTAAATAAGTCTTCATTATGCCATGCCCATACATTCTGCCTGCTTAGACTTACATATTTGTGATGTTTCTGGCATTTCTCACTGTTTCTGTGCAAATTTATAATTTATTCCATGAAATCTTTTTTACCAGAGAGTCTTACAAGAAACACTGCCCAAGATAAGTTATACGAGAGTAATAGACGTGTTACTGATGCTATTGCTGCATCTAGTGTTGCTAATAATAGTACTGGGGTAGAGACGATATCATTTACACCGTATGTAGTTGGAGTTAATCAACTTGTGGATTTTATGCTCAATGAACAAGGTGAAGATATAACAGAGACTAGTGCTATTGAAATCATACAGGTTAGTATTTTAACTTTTTAGTTCCGGTAAGTTAAACTTTTTTTTCTAAAAAGTCTCCTGTTTTTCTTGGGATGAGTTAAATCCAGGTCAGATAAAATGAGCTTGATTTTTAAAAATGTTTTCAGGCCAATAAAATGTCAAACTTTGTTCAAAGTTGCTGGTGTTCTGGTATGACTTGGTAATTTACAGCTGTTATAATAAATAATTCTTGATGGTTCATTTATTGAGCCAGCATGCAAAAAATCACTGCTTAATGCCGCATTCTTTCTAGTATTCTTCTTGTTTGATCAATGCATGTTATTGAATTAAATTTGTGCACTACAAGACTGACACCTATGAAATATCACTGATTAAATTTAAAGCATCAGCAGTAGAGGGCAGGCATCATTTGTGAACGTCTAAGAAACACAATGCTTTAGTGGTCCAGGGAGTGACCACTGCAAGCCATGAAAATTTGATTAATATTTTCATGAATAACTATTTTGTGGCACAATAGACTATTTTAAGGATAGTGTTGCGTTCAGCCAAACTGTTCTGTTGTAAAGGATTATGGGTATTTTGAGAGACAAAGTAGCAAGTTTTAGCTATTGCTAGTGTGACTGCCCTAAAAAAAGCGAAGCTAGTCATTTTTTTTTTTACATTTTTGATCGATTGGTTTTAAACTTGGTATTATCTACCTTGGTAGACTTTCTCAGATTTGTTTATTTAGTTTAGTTTTTGTTATTCTCTTATTTTAGTGAATATTTTATCAATTTTGATAATTTCTGACGTCTTATCGGTTTCCTTGTTATCTTCAAAATGGCAGTGATATATATCATATGAAAAGTTGCTTGTTTCTAATGAAACTGGCTGAGCGTGACTTATCCTTGAAAAGAACAATTTTACCGATAAAAATATGACTTACAAATTAATCTAAGGCATTAACAGTATGTGTCTGCGATTTTTCATTTACAGAGACATGAACCTAAAGTATCACTGCGGGAACAGAACTATTTGTCTTTTGAAGGCTTTGCAAGATTTATGATGGATAAAATTAACTATGGGTTTGTAAATGAAGAGACTCCTATTAAATTACAGGTAATGTGAAATACCAAGGATTGCGAGTCCTGATGAGAAAATAGTGTATTGTCACAAATGGCATGCTTTCTTGCTCCAAAATAGGGATCCTCTCCTAATAATTTAGGGGTCTTAAAAGTAGAATTTGGGGTTGACACAGTAATTTCTTGAAATTCTTGAAACTATACCATCTGACCGGCTATTTAAAAGCCAGAAAAAGACGGTTAGTGCACCTGAACTAGTTTGTATTTTATTGTATGTACAGCTGTCAGAGTGAGGCTTAACGCTATATGGAAATTAGTCAAGTCATTGTTTCCATGGAAACACATTTGAGTAATCTTCCCATCTTGTTTTTATGTAATTTTTTTTAATGGAGTTTTGAATGATATTTTTTTTAATCAATTTAATTGTTATAGTGATGATCACGCTCAAAGGGGAAGCCAGTGTGACTGTGGTATTAGTTCATGTATGTGTGTGTGCATAGAAAAGCATTGAAAATTTATCTTTTCATATAAAAAAAAAATTGCGTCTTATCGTGTTTACTGGTTTTCCTCCACAGGAGCTGCACCACCCACTGTCGCATTATCTGATCGAAAGCTCTCATAATACCTACTTGACTGGGCATCAGCTTAGAGGAGAATCATCAGTAGAGATATATGCTCAGGTAGGAATAACTGCTTTCTAAAACAGCGCCCTCACAGTCAAAGATATTCCTATTTTCATTCACTGCCTCTAGAGGGCACTGTGATATGACTAGTTTTTACTACTTGAACCAAACACCTGGCTTAAATTCTTAATCTGTTTTCTTATTACATATCAAGAATAAACTTTGTTTTAAGAGTTTTTCTTCTACTTTTCATTTACAAACAAATGCTTTTTTTATCAGGAAAAGTCCTTCATTTCACCCTTAATATATTAGATGGGAAGTAAACCTGTTGGTATTATTTGTTGTTTTTCTCATTAGATTCTTCTGACAGGTTGTCGATGTGTTGAACTTGATTGTTGGGATGGTGACGATGGCTGGCCTATAATTTATCATGGACACACGCTAACAACAAAAATCTCATTTAAGGTATAAAACACTCATGTTGCTGGTATTTTTGAAATTGACTTGGTTGATGATTCGTTAGTTAGCATTTTTGCCTCACATCAGGGAGGTTGCTGGTTTGATTTTCAAAGCAGACTCTTTTATTCAGCTGTACTAGAGTACTTCCTTCCAAACCTTCCAAATAAACAGTAAATCAGGTTTGGGATTGACATGCATGTGCAAATAACACAACAAACAAACAAACAAAAAATGTCTGGAAAGACAGTGAATACTTCATTTCAATTGCCGGCCAAATTTTTTTTATTAAGTGGTGGTGGTAGGGGGTTGTCGGGAGACACTGTAAAATGGACACCAAGTCTGAGAATCCCAAATATTACAGAAAGGGGTGTTACTTTCGGGGAATTTTAATTACACTAATAAACAAGATCAAGTTCAGTGATAGATTCCAGATTTAATTGTAATTTTCATATCCTGTCATGTGTAATCTAACCATCTGACATTAGTGTAATTATAGTCTTAAGTTTTACTGAATAAAGCAGTTATCCTATGGTCGTAGTCTTGTCTATGACACCTTAACACTGCCTCGTTGTATAGTTGTTTCCAAGCTACTGAATTCTCTTCTGCCCTACTCCCACAGGGGTTGGGGTCTTTTTGTGTTATGTGTACATGTACGCATACATATACTTGTTCATTGTATAGAACAATCGTAGTCATCAATCTCAACCAGCAAAAATATTATAATAGTTAATCAAAAATGTTAACAATCAATTGTTTTATTTCAATTTCTCAGGAGGTGGTTGAGGCTATAGATAGAGCAGCATTTGTCACGTCTGACTATCCCATTATTCTCTCCATTGAAAATCATTGTTCCATCCCTCAACAAACAAAGATGGCTCAGATATTCAATGTGAGTATAGTATAACTATTGTAACTTTATAAATGCTAAAGCCAACTTTTGTCCCTTTTCACAAGATAAACTTCCATTTCCATATTTTTATATTTGTATGGAATGTAAAACTACCTATGTTTGTTTTGTTCCACAATTTACAAAGAAGTTATCGAGAAAAAAACAGAAGAAAACAAATCATAGAAATGAAAGTAATTGTTAACCAATCTATCGGTACGTCATTTAGGCATAATAGAATTTAATGGTGTATTGAATATAACAGAATTGGTATTTTACCGTACTGATTTTGTAATGTTGGGGGTTTTATTTACAGAATGTATTTGGTGATAAACTGGTGAAAGATTTCATTTTTGATTCGGACATCAGTGATAATCCACAGCTGCCATCTCCAGAGCAACTAAAATGGAAGATTTTAATCAAGAATAAGAAATTACGAGCTTATCAAACTCCTCTTCATATCCTAAAACACAGGGTAAGCATAGGTAATTTGTAAAGAATGATACGTCTATCCCCGTTATTGAGCAATTATTGCACTAGGCCCATGACTTCAGTTGAATACCATGGCCAAAAGCCACTGCTTATGTAAAAACTGATGTAACTTGGTTTAGAACTTGTTTAGTTCAAAGTTATCAAATCAAAAACAATACATAAAAAATACATAAAAAGCAAAACATTCATCCATATTTTAAAAAGAAAATTGTTCTAAAATATATGTATTCTGTATTTGACAAACAGTTCATTCGACAAATGAAAACTCGCAGGAATATGTTTCAGCTATTAGAACAGAATGATAGAGTTTTCATAATAGTAGTTTAAAAACGCATTTCGAAGATTGCAGTGTTTGAAGATGTAAATTCTCAGGAGGCAACAGTACTGTTGACTTCTCCCTCCACTGGACACCAACTAACTATTTAAGTTGATTTGCATACAAAGCAGAGCTTGCAACATGATAGCTATTCATAAAGGGTGTTTTTTTTTTGCTTTTCATGTAATACAAAAATACTTGGACAAAAGCCAGCTAAGATTTTCTGTTATCTTGCATGTTTTATGAATCTATTCACGTCTAAATGCAGAACTTTTTTTTTGCGATGAGGCATTTATTTTTATACTAAAATATCTGAATTACTTTGAATAAAACTGGAAATTATGTCCCTTAAAATAATTAAACAAATAAGGCACCAATGTTTTTGTAAGATATTTACATTTTTTAAGGACATTCGGTAGACTGATTCCCCACTGTTGGTTCAACCCCAAAACTTGTTTGTATTCAAAATTAATTATGACAATGCACATTTATATTGAAACAAACTGTGATAGAGGGAATTATATTATATAACAAAGGGCAAGGTCACCAGAGTTCAACTATGTTTAATATTTCTGAAGATTTTCTTGAGTATTATTTGTTTAAATTGTTCATACAGGTAATAAATATGATGAACCAACAGAAACTAAATAATGTTACAAGCAATGTCACTGGTACAACAGCATTACAAGAACAGTCTGATGAAGATGATGATGAAGAGTTTGAAGAAGATGAAACTGTACCCTTTGATGGTAATGAAACTATAAAAAAAATACACAGTGAAGGGCAGAAAACTGTACCTTAGTTTATAAACATATTTATACATACAGTTTGTAAATACTGATCATCAGCTTTCCTTCAAACTTTTTAAAAGTCAACATCCTTAGATTGACATGAGCACAATAGACATGTTTTGAGTTCTGTCATTACCCTAGAAACTAGCGCTACATGTTACTGATTATATATAACTCTGAAATTGAATTCCTTTCAGATACTTTTCATATGACGACTGTGGTTGGTAATCCTGCTGATGGTGATAGTGGCTTGCCGACAACCACGCATTTCATGAACGGTGGACATGAGATGGTGAAGAGAAGCCCATCAAGTGACGACAAGAAATACCCTCTTAGGTAAGGTTACCCAAATGCTTTGTCATAAACGTGGCATGCTTTTCCTGCTACTTTTCTGAACTGATCATTGACTGATACAGAGAGGTAAAGCATCATCTGATGCATGAAGTTAGCTTTTTAGGTATTTTTGATTATTCGCTGGATTTTATTTTCACTGAATCATTCCTTCAACGAATATAGCGAAAATGAAGTATTTTGCAGTATGTTTCTCTGTTTATGCAACAACTTACGAGAAACATCGTCACAGTAGATCATAGTCAGTGACTTTTGCGAGAGACCTACATGCTGGTTGACAAAAATGTTACCTCCTATATACAGTTGTAAGAATAATTTCTGAGTTCACCTTTAAAGAGTCATCATCTTTTCACTCTTTTCCTAATTTTTCTAATAATCATCAGTTGAGGGATTTGGCGAATAGTTCAATTTCAACTTCAGTGTATGTATGGTGTATGTTAAATGTAAATTCAATGAATTGTTGTCTTTTATTACACAGAAGAACACCCAGCTCAAAATTCAGCCCCAGCACACTTCCTGTTTATGGAGAAGATATGTTTCTAATGCCACCTAAGAGTACAAAAAAGGAAACAAGTCAGATTGCCAAAGAATTATCAGATCTGGTTATCTACTGCCAAGCTGTTAAATTTCCTGGTATGTTTGTTATTTTGTTGTGATCCAAGTCTTTCTTGAGACCTATGAATTAGTGAACCATAATTGTAAGAACTTTGATAAATTTTCACTGTAGAATCTCTGTCAAAGTGACCTGATTGTTATAGTCAAATTATTGTTTCCATAGAATTTAGAAATAAGTTTTTTATACCCTCCACTGAAACCTTGCATTCTGAAAAAAAAAATATCATTTTTTGTTGCTGTGGGAATTCGGTTCGAATAAATCGCCACGTTTAATAAATCTCCACAGAACATACAGTAGACTAAAGTGATAGAGTTCAAAAGAAAGTCGTAATGACTTCTTTATTCATGGGTAGAACGCTGAACATTTTGACCAGTAATTACATCAGTAGTACAAACTTCAGCATTAAACTGTGAGTGCCCTTGATGAGGGGCAAAAGAGTGAATAACTTGAGAAACTATGAACTAAATTCAAATGTGGACTCCATTGATGACCGCCATATCCATCGAAATTAGAAATCATGTGTACACTTGCATAATGATTAGCATGTTTGAGGTCGAATCCATTGCTCATAGGGGGTAACTCTTAATGTAAGAACACATGTAAACGATCTAACAGTGAAATAATAGGGTAATTTCCTTAGTTAATGGGAAATATGAATAAACTAGAATAATCTGAATAAACTGTTTATAAAGATAACATTAGATAAATAAATCTATCTATTAATGTAGAAATGTATTAATACATATTCTTATGCATTTAACTAACTAACAAACACACATGTTGACCTGTGCCCCAACATTTTTACTGGTCAACCAAACTCACGAGTAATATAAAGTATTCTTGAATAATTTTTTTTACAAGATGATTATACTTCAATATTTTACTACATGTGTATTTATTTGTAGGGTTTGCAGTTCCTGAGGAAGGTACAGGCACTATAAAACAGAAAAATCCCACCAAAAAGGCCCTACGTCAGCTGTCGTCATCTGGTGCAAGCTCACAGAATTTAAGCAGTTTAGCATCATCACAACCAGTCACTGGTAAGAATAACCTTAGATCTATAAATTATTTGAATTTTATAAAAAACTATGTTTTTTTCCAAAATGTGCTAGGTCACGTCTTTACGTCACAAATGTATTGAAAAAATAGTCAGTTTTGGCCAAAATATGCCAACAAACCTCATCTGCTTATGTTTTATTTATTTTTAAGAGTCTGATGGGAGCCCAAAATCAAAAGATCTAGGACTAGGACATGAAAGTAAACAAGCAGCTCAACAACAAGATACATTTTCAAGGTTTATGCAGACACCTAAATGTTACCACATCTCATCAGTGAATGAGACTGGTCTCAAGAAACTTTTCAGAAAGTTTTCTTATAAATTCCTCGAATATCCTTTCAAAGCTCTGTTCCAGTGTAGTGTATTTGTCATTCGAGTTGGTGTGGTAGTTGGGTGGTTGTGGTAGTTGAGAGAGGGCATACATATTATATATGTTTCCAAAACCACTAATAACCCTATGAATACAAAAGTTGTTTCCATTAACAAAAAGAAATCATTTTATATTACAAGAATTAAAAAGTACAAACAAATTTACAAAAGCCATTTCTCTTGCACCTTCTAACATTCAAGAGTCAAAACTGAGTTAGTAACCACTTCTCTATACATGTAAAGAACAGTCCTAAAGCATAGCGTATATGTAACCTTTGTGTAAGGACCACCTGCCCTATGTGACCACCAATTTAGTGAATTCGAGTACTCAATTGTGAAATATTTCAGATTACCCCAGTAATTAAAATTTGTATTTTGGTTCACAATGCAAGGATTTCTAACAATTTGAGTCTTTATATGTCTACACTATCACTGCAATAACATATATATGTGCCTTAACATATACCCAAGCATACCGAATATCAATTGATGAGAACTTATCCCGCTGGTATGAGAATAGACTCCTCAAACTATTGTCCTATTATTTATTGGTCATTTGGTATACAGCTTGTATCATTGAATTATCAAACTGAAGGTATGTAACGTAGGAGCCATCATTTTTATACATGTACCTGGATTTGTTTTCAATAAGCTCGTTCCTGTCATTTATTTTTCAGCTTTACCCCAGTAGTGCCTTTTTATATTCATCTTCTAAGTAATTTCATTGTCAATAGTTTAAAGCGAGGGAGTCGTCACCTGCGCATGCGTCAGATGGCCATAGCGTGTCATTCTTTACAAACAAGCGTCCACCCATGAGCCTTTGCGTTTTAGCATGTGTTGTTATGTGTCGCTTGGGACTCAATTTCCGCGTGTGCACAGGTGCGACCCTCCCACTTTAATCTCCTTTTAATCTACTTTTTCATCAAATATACATTAAATTTTCTATCAAATGTGTATATTACACTTTTTTGCCTGCAATTTTTGTTTTTGTTATTTAATTTTCTTTATATTTTATAGCCGAACAGTCATACATCTCTTAATCATTAATCCATTATCAAAATTGATTTTGTTTTTATCATGTCATCTATTTACTCATATGATTTCTCTGATATTTTAGACTTTTAAATTTGTTTGTAGTCACTGTCTGTACTAATTATTATTCTTTACTCTAGACCTAAATATGGCTTTGAACAGTGCTTTATTTGAACAAACACAAAGATGTGGATATGTACTGAAACCTTCTTATCAAATTGACAAGTCACACTTGCTGTTTAACAAGTTTAATGCTTATGAGAAGGACTTTGAAGATATGAACCTCTGGGCTGTAAATCTCACAGTGAGTTCAGTGTCATTATTTTCGGAAACATTTACATTCCACAATACTATATTGTATAGTTGTTAATTGCAGACATACTGTGAAAAGCAAAGAATGATGACATCACTTGCACTGAATGAAACTCGAAAAATTGTGGCATTCCTTTCATTGAAACACAAAGAATGATGACATCATTTGCACTGAAACACAAAAAATTATGACATCATTTGCACTGAAACACAAAAATGATGACATCATCACTGCACCAAAACATAAAGATGGATGACAATATCAAAACATACTTACATAGTTTCTATGCAAGGCACAAGCAATTTTTTCAATATTTTATTGTATGCAATGTTTTTGTACCCAATTACAGTATCCTATATTCTATTTTGCTCTGAAAAGAAATTAAACTACACCCCATTTAATTTAACCAACATTGCAAGACTGAATAGATTATAACCCTTTGCTTTAGCTTTGGTATGTGAATTGTTTAAAACTTGGCACGTTTCTTACAGGTTATCTCTGGTCAGTGGGTGTGTCCAAATAATCACACTGGTAGCCCAAGTGTTGAAGTAGAGATACTGGGAATTCCTGTAGACTGTGCTCGAGGAAAGACTAAAGTAATACACAGAAACGCTGTAAACCCTATATGGAATGAAGCATTTACATTTCAGGTAAATCAATAGAAGGATGTACAGAAAGGAACATGTAATATAGAATCCCTCAATTGCTACTTGGTGGCCCGGCTGTGCATTTTGCTTTAAATTATGGTCAGTGTCACTCCATCACATCAGCGTTTTTGTTTGTGGGTGTGGGAAGGGGGATTTTATTCAATGTTATAGTCTCAATCAAATCAAACAAGAGAAGATTAGATAGGTACAACCTCTGTTCTGTAATGTGCTCATGGTGATCTTTGCTATTTTGATTTATTAGGTTTATAAATAAAACCTTTATCCATGCATTAGTATCTTCCACTGTAACTAACTAAGAGGGTTAAACTTTGTTATTTATTCTTTCTTAGGTTGTGCTTCATGATCTTGCATTTGTTAGATTCTCAGTCACTGATACAAGCGGCTCTGGTCTAACAGCTCACAGAGTAATTCCTTTGAAAGCTCTCAAAACAGGTAAGGACAGTCAATCAATATATCACTGTTATAGCAAGCTTAGGAAGAATGACCAAAGGCCGTTAACAAATCCTGCAAGGCCCCATCTTGAATCATGCTCAACTTGCTTGTGAACTAATACCTCGACTTCCACGATTCACATGCTTTGACGTTCGATGCTTATGTCAGTTCTATTTTTAGTGGTCAATTAACTGCTTGGCTGTGCTCCTCATTAGACATAGCCTGCTAAATATTATCAATTACAGCAAGAGCAGAAAGTGTGTACTGAATAGTGATACCACATTTGTAGTTTGATGATTTGATTCAAGATGGTCAAATGATGACCATTTTATTGTTAAAAGTGCATTAAAATCAAGCATTCCTCCCATTCTGGACCCGCATATCGCTCAATTAAGAAGATGACTTACAATGGCTGATGTATGCATAATATTCAAACTTGCTAACATGCTTCATATCTTTTTTTGTCTTTTTTTTTGTCTTGATAGGATACCGACATATAAGGCTGCGCACACCTCAGAATTGCCCGTTAGAACTGGCGACATTGTTTATATGCACCAAGATTGAAGAACAACAGTCACAATGCCTGGGCTGGAATAATTTAGATACTGAGGATCAAAAGCAGATGAAGGCAAATATTATGTATTATAATATTGGGAAAGATAAAGATAATAAAATGGATTTCAGTGAGGTTAGTTACAATTTAATTATTATCTCACAACATTCAAGTTCAAGTGACTGTTTGCCATATTATTATTCGTACAATTGGCCATGGTCAATAAAAACTTTACTGCGCCCCAAATACTCTGGATGTTCATATTGTAAAACCATGTAATATAGTGTTATTTAAGAAATATGTATAGTTCCGCATTTAATATTCCAATGTTTTATTATTTATTAAATATGTGATGAATATTCATATGGCTCTGATTGATACAAAATTATCAGTTATCCACATGTCTGTTGACGTCAAACTATAACATTTTGATTCATTTGTACATACACATTCATTAGTCTCTTATTTGGCTGGCTGAGCTTCATTATAGAAAGACCGTTCAGAAAGTTTTGAGTGACATATCAGATCAATCATACACAATGTTATCTGAAGGTATGCAGCAAGGTTCTATGTATTGGTAGTATCACAATCCCTTCTTTAGTTCTTGTTTCTTGTTAGTGAGCCTTCTAAATAGGACTGTTTTCGTACAGATCAAAATGAAATCCCCTAAATTAAGTTGAATCAGTTTAACTGCTGGAATAAGATGTCTTCATAAAAAAAATTATATGTGACTTTGTTGGTCGCTAGGGGCCCAAATGAAAATGTTGAGTCTCTTGATTTTCACATATTTTTTTTCCTGAAATGTGAATTTTGTTTTACCAAAATACAAAAGTATATATTAAGACTTTTGTAAGATATGTCAATGTGCAATTTTCTGTTGCATCAATAATGTACCAGTGAAACAGCCCCACTAGTTACATCACAGCAAATCTCTGTATGTCAGTGGCATGTCATACCAGCTTAAGGGGCACGCTGACATATAAAATACCAGCTTAAGGGGCACGCTGACATAAAATACCAGCTTAAGGGGCACGCTGATGTAAAATACCAGCTTAAGGGACACGCTGATGTCAAATACCAGCTTAAGGGACACGCTGATGTAAAATACCAGCTTAAGGGACACGCTGATGTAAAATACCAGCTTAAGGGACACGCTGATGTAAAATACCAGCTTAAGGGACACGCTGATGTAAAATACCAGCTTAAGGGACACGCTGATGTAAAATACCAGCTTAAGGGACACGCTGATGTCAAATACCAGCTTAAGGGACACGCTGATGTAAAATACCAGCTTAAGGGACACGCTGATGTAAAATACCAGCTTAAGGGACACGCTGATGTAAAATACCAGCTTAAGGGACACGCTGATGTAAAATACCAGCTTAAGGGACACGCTGATGTCAAATACCAGCTTAAGGGACACGCTGATGTCAAATACCAGCTTAAGGGACACGCTGATGTCAAATACCAGCTTAAGGGACACGCTGATGTAAAATACCAGCTTAAGGGACATGCTGATGTAAAATACCAGCTTAAGGAACACGCTGATGTCAAATACCAGCTTAAGGACACGCTGATGTAAAATACCAGCTTAAGGACACGCTGATGTAAAATACCAGCTATGGGGCACGCTGATGTAAATACAGCTAGGACTACTG